ACTCTGAATGACTACAGGGGGAAAAAATTACATAATTTAACATAGAATCCATCTTAAACAATGAAAAGATGTGCACTATTGTAGGCCTGTCTCAATAATCAATATATCGACTTATCGCAATATATGTACATGACCTCAATAATTTTTGGTGACGCAATATATCGCCCATTATATTTACTTAAAAATTAATGTCACCATGTTTTGTACATTTCACTTGCGCCTCAGCTTCTCGTGCATAACGTGGTGTAGTCATGAGGTGCTAGTTCAAATTTTAAAAATGCTTCTACAAAAAAAAGTTAAATCTGCAGATATTGCCTTGTTTAGGGATCTGTGCCTTTTGTGCATACAGACATCTGACTGCCGAGTAGTGATTGTGTTTTTCAGCAATAGTGTGCACCCTTCATTTACAGAGAAAAGAAGGTCAGGAAAAAAATCTGTAGATGGAAAAATCTCCATACAAGTTCTTTGAGCATTTTTCTTTTTTCTACTTGTTACTTTGCACTTTTTGTTAGAAAATGTTTATTTACTATTTGTACAGGTTTTTTAAGGTATCTTATATTTTGATACTTAATTTCCTTGATCTAAATATTCTTAAAAAGTTTGTTGTCATTTGGAAGTGGTGTAGGCCTTCTTGCATTATTATACTGTTACATTATGATTATATATTCAGTGGCATAAAATGGTCTTTAAAATGACAATAATATCGCTTATCGCAATTATTTCTGGGGCAATATATCGCAAAAAAAAGTTGTTATTGTGACAGGCCTACACTATTGTTTTCATTGCACTTTTCTTGGTAAGGTTAAGAGAGATTGAGATTGTTAAAGCAGTTCTCTTTCATGTGTTGTACTTGTATTGAAACATTACAAGATTGATTTAATATCGCTTCACATGGGATGTCTTTTCAAGATTTTTTTTATAATTTTAATAATCTGACATTTAATCCATGTTTGGAAAAACATTTCTACATACAAGAATGTAAAGCAGCTGAATGTACCTTTGCACATTGGCTGTCTCTATAGGTAACAGATGGAACTTCAAGATGATGGTGAGCTATCAGGAGATGCTGGACTGTTTAAAGCAAAAATGGCCCAATCTGGAGCCTGTGCCTGGAGAGGAAACTGATACAGCCAAGGTCAGCCCAGCTCCAAACTGCTAAATAAATCATTGGCCATGAATCATTCTCAATGTTAAATGACCATTTGAGCTAATTTTGAAAGGGTCAAGAAGACGTTATCAGATTTTTGCTATGTTACTGTGCAGTTTTTATTTATTGGTCTGTTGTACATTTTTGAAAATTTTCATACACGTTATAAATAGGGCAAGAGGCTTCAATAAAAACATTCCTTTTGTAATCTTGGGTCATCTTGGTAAGGCTATAGAATCATATCAGTGGATAAGCCTTCATGTGTGTGTTTCTGTGTTGTCTGTTTACAGGGGTTTAGAGTTCCAGGATTTCGGGGCCAGCTGGGCTTCATTACCTCCATGTCAGAACATTTCTGTGGCTCCTGTAACCGCCTGCGCATCACGGCTGATGGCAACCTTAAGGTAAATGTTGTGTGTGTGTGTGTGTGTGTGTGTGTGTGTGATATTCCTTACGCTGATATGCCTTGTGCTTAAGCTTTTCAGTTAGCTGTCTAAATTGTTTTGGTTTATTTTTTACATATGTGTCTTGTGTTGGCACGCCATCAGGTTTGTTTGTTTGGAAATTCAGAGGTGTCTTTGAGGGATTTTCTGCGCTCTGGAGCAACTGAAGAGGAACTACTGCACATCATAGGGGCAGCAGTTGGGAGGAAGAAGAAACAGCATGCAGGTAAAAACAAACACCCTCTTGATACATCACATCAACTGTCCAGCAAATGTTTCCCAACTACTAAAGAATATTAATTTAAAATGTAGTAATCAACATTCAGGTCATGTCTTATCCATAATTTATTTACTCTTTTTCTGCAGGGATGTTCAATATATCTCAGATGAAGAACAGGCCAATGATCCTCATTGGTGGGTGATGTGGCTGTACGTAATACACTTCCCATCTCACTCACTATATCGTCTGTGGTGTGTTGAATATCTCATTATTTTCTGGGATTAGAAAGTGTTTTGCAGTGTGATTTTGTTCTGGTTCCTTGACCAAAGTTTTTCATATGCTGTGCAATGACTAGTTCACAGCAGTGACTGAAATTAAGGGTCGATTTTGCTGCCTTAAATAGATTTTTTTCAGGGACATTTTTACTGTTGTTACAGATCAAATGAAATCAGTATCAACAAAATCCATTTTTGCACTGCAGAAACTATTTTGTAATTACAATTGCATAAATAATGTGGAAATTAAAGTTAAAAAAATATTTTGAATATTGAAATATGAAAAAAAAGAAATTGGGACATTCTAACTGGATTGTACTAGGCGGTGTTATGCAGTGAAAGTGTGCACTCTTAAGGTGTGCTATTTGTTTTTTTGCAAAGTTAGATAAGGTCAGTTTCCACACTGTTATAAGAAACCTTACGATATTATTCTAGATGATATATCGCACACCCTATCAACAAGCTGTTTATATACTATGCTAGTATAGAATATACTATACTAGTTCATCACCCACACTGTTAATGTGTATACATTTACCAGATTACAAGTTGTGGAGGATTCTCCTTTAAAAAATATTGTATTGTTAAATATGTGTGTCCTTGTTTACAGGTAGAAACTGCAGCTGGCCGCTGTGTGGATCGCTGTTTAGAAGCAGTCAGAGCCAGCCTCTTCCTCTGATCCACAGCATGGATTCAGTAGCCTCTGCTACAACTCACTCATTAACAAATTGCATTCAACACTTTCATGGTAATGCCAATCAGGACTACACAAGCACTTTTGTTAATGATGCACTAGGTTTGACTTCTCTTTGTAAAAAGCATAATCGACCAAGATTTCGTTCTATGAAAAGATCGAACAGTCAAAGTCGTGCATTCTCAGAGGCACTTTGCAGTGAAGTGATGACCGAATCTTATCAAGTGAATGCTGGTGCCTTAAAAACCCCCAAAGCTCTAACCGCTCATACGCACATTTTGCACTGGTGGTCTCAGTCACTACAGCTACAATCCAAAACATTTCCTCCCATTCTATTTCTTAGTGCACTACTGTCAACAACCAAATTTAGAGATTCAACTCTGCAGTTTGCACGGCACTGCCACAGCAAAACCCCTGAATGTGGGTTTGATTTGAAAATACCACATACAGATGCACAGTCCTCCAGCCTTGATGGAACCTCTGAGCAGTTGACCCACACTGATGCACATGGTAAAGCCTCCATGGTCAATGTGGGCAGTAAGGCGGTAACTAGTCGCACAGCCATGGCTTGTGGCAAGATCATCCTGGGTCCAAAAGCTTTTAATTTGGTGTGTGCCAATCAGCTTGCCAAGGGTGATGCATTAGCGGTAGCACAGCTAGCGGGCATCATGGGTGCCAAGCAGGCCTCATCTCTCATTCCCCTCTGCCACCCGCTTCCTCTTGACCACGCCTCCGTTTCCATAGAGCTGCTGGAGGAAGAACATGCTGTCATCGTCAAGGCTACTTGCCAAACCACGGGCCGCACAGGAGTGGAGATGGAGGCCCTGACCGCCGTTGCGGTGGCCACGCTAACTCTCTATGACATGTGCAAGTCAGTCAGCCATGACATTGTTATTACTGACATCAAGTTGCTCAGCAAGACGGGCGGACAGAGAGGTGATTTTCATCGCTCGCCTGATTCCTAAAGAATGCATAAATCGCAGGCTTAATCCCACCTGCTTGAAAGTAGCTACAGTATTAAATTCTTCTCTCTAGAAGCAGTTTTCTTTAACAAAATGTGCCTTCAGATGCCTCTAGCTAATCTACTTAGTCATTTTAACTATTCCTGTGTCCATGCCGAGCATGAAATGTGACTTGTTCAAGTAAGACTCGTTTACCTGACGTACGAAGAGTATTTTATTTTGGTCTAGATTTATTTTGATAATGATAATGCAGCTAAAGATAATGTGTTTCGTAAGGTTGTCGCAGTTGAGCGAAGTTCAGTGCTGCAGGGATTACACATTTTGCAGGTCAAAACCCGGCATCAAGCATTTTAGCCTTTTGCTCATTCCCCTCTGCCACCCGCTTCCTCTTGACCACGCCTCCGTTTCCATAGAGCTGCTGGAGGAAGAACATGCTGTCATCGTCAAGGCTACTTGCCAAACCACGGGCCGCACAGGAGTGGAGATGGAGGCCCTGACCGCCGTTGCGGTGGCCACGCTAACTCTCTATGACATGTGCAAGTCAGTCAGCCATGACATTGTTATTACTGACATCAAGTTGCTCAGCAAGACGGGCGGACAGAGAGGTGATTTTCATCGCTCGCCTGATTCCTAAAGAATGCATAAATCGCAGGCTTAATCCCACCTGCTTGAAAGTAGCTACAGTATTAAATTCTTCTCTCTAGAAGCAGTTTTCTTTAACAAAATGTGCCTTCAGATGCCTCTAGCTAATCTACTTAGTCATTTTAACTATTCCTGTGTCCATGCCGAGCATGAAATGTGACTTGTTCAAGTAAGACTCGTTTACCTGACATACGAAGAGTATTTTATTTTGGTCTAGATTTATTTTGATAATGATAATGCAGCTAAAGATAATGTGTTTCGTAAGGTTGTCGCAGTTGAGCGAAGTTCAGTGCTGCAGGGATTACACATTTTGCAGGTCAAAACCCAGCATCAAGCATTTTAGCCTTTTTTTTTTGTTTGTTAAAAGGCCTGAAAAAAAATTACCTTTAACACAAGCTCAAGATATTTTCACGTTTTATTCTATAATATAAAATACATCATCATTACACCCTTGGGGTTTTTAAAGCTTTTACTTTCAACAAGTGGCTCAATGAGTCTACAGAGGTTTTTCGGGACACTAAACGTCATCGCACCAAACAGAAAAAAACATCATCTCACCAGTATTCTAACTCAAACTTTCAGGGATATATATATATACATGTATATATACATATATAAAAGGAATTAATGGTGGTGTCATTGAAATCATGTGGCTGTGCTGTAGTTTGTTTAGAGCCTGCAGATTGTATTTACACTTTCAAAAAGTTGAAGTTGTGTGAAGATTATTGTGATGTAAGAATCATAAACTTTTGTTCATTGGCCTACAAAAATGTCATCACCGCAGCACTCTATTCAAAAGGCTTGTTGAAAATGTGCACTTTGGCTGTATACTGTGTGACAGTATTTTCTTATGAAACATCCACTTTCTATTAGATTACATTACCTCTGGTTTCTGTATAGCCTCTTTCATGTAACGAGCAGAACAAATCAAATTCATTACAGTATGTTACAGTAGTTTTATGAACTAACATTCTGCTTGTGTTTTATGAACGAGGCCCATATTGAATAAAATACATTTTCATATCATATAAAATAGTTTTTCAACATTTTTAAAAAAATGGAATACTTGCTACAACAGTACTGTAAATTCAGCCTCTGACTTGTCTGAACAAACAAGATTAGTTAAACCATTGTTAATTTTCTTTTATACATAAAATTGAAATCACTATCTGAATCATCTGAACATTTGTCAGAATGCTGTTCATCATAAGTTTCTAATATAATTGATGTTTATAATGTGTAATATGCTCTGTGTCTTAACTGCAGTAGTTGGTTTGGATAAAATAACTGAAATATTCTGTGACCAGAAGAAGGCAGTGTTGCACCGTGAGAAACAACTTCTGCAGCTGTGAGAACTGCCATTGCTAAATGGATGACTGTGCCTAGGATATTCATAGTACAACATTGGACATATGTGTGATTTAAGAGCCAGCTGTACAGAAGTGTAACCCAAAGTAAAAGGTTTACGCAGATGTCAGTGAAACAAGTTTATTTTTACCCTACAAAATGTCACATGGAAAGGGGGTCAGGTGGAGGGGTTGAGAGTCAGACCATAAACAAACAAATATATATAAATGAAAGGCTTGTCATTCTCATACAAACAAATATCAATCACAATACAGTTATACCATTTCTTTCATAATGCTGTGTATACATACAAAATATAGCAAACTAAGTAAGGCAAATAAATAGAGCTTCAATTTACAGGGGGGAAAAATCCACATTCCTCAAACTGATGGTGTACAAAATATTTTGAGAACTATACATTATGTGAGGCCCTTGTCAAATCAACCTTTAAAATGGGGCTCTTGGCACAAATACAACCTGTCAAAATCATGGGTGGAGCATTCTATGAACGCATACAAAGTGTGATGCGTTTCATGTCACAGATAATAATAATACACCAACATTATTAGAGAACCACACCTGTGCACCACTCGAGCCAACAGGGAAAACATCAAGTGCAATTGGTCCAAGCAGAAGTGGGAGGCAAAACATTATCTTTCAAAAATATCTCAAATATAAAAGCAAGTGATACATTTAGGCAGTTGGCATGGTGTTTTCAGATACAGTCATATATTTATCTTGTAACGTACCAAAGATAATACATTTTCTTTAACATTCATATTACAGTTCATATCTATATAAATCTATATTCAATCCACAATAATCAAAGAGCTGAAAAGGACAGTTTTATAAAACAATGGAACACAGATTATTGGTTAACTTGCACCTAATCTATGTAGGCCTGATTTCTTAACTAAAAAAATATACTTGTATGATTGATATGATATATACTTATATGATTTTCTTTCTTTATTTTCAGCCTTTGGCTGCTCAGGTTTGTGATGCAGGAAAAATCTGTCCTACAAAAAAAGTGCATCAAGTAACTATAGCTAACTTTCTGTTTTGGACAATCAATGACCAAATATACATAAAAGATACAAATAATAATACTGAAGATTTGAATACTTTGTGGAACTTTAAAAGCAGAACACCAAAGCTGTTCTGTGGAACAATGTAACCTAGCATCTGCAGTACCACTCTTCTCATGACAAGAATGACAAAGATGTAAAGGAAATGAAAATAAATAGCCCAAAACCCCTCAATTGTAATTTGGCAAGGGGCCAAATCTTTTTATTTTTAAATTTTTTTTTAGTACAATATATTATAAAATTGTTTAACAAAGTGTATGTCTTCCCTTCTGTTGGGTCATATTCATTTGGTGCACAAAGAACAGTTAATCGTGCAAACCCACATTCCTAATTCTGCATGATCTCCAATTAAGCAGCGTAAGATTAGAACGTTGCCATAAGGTCTAATAAGAGCCTCTATGGGGAATCCTTAGGAAGTGCAATCAAACTAATTGCAGACCGATTAAAGCTTCTTTAAAATGCTCAGATTTAAATGGGCAATAATTGTCTTTTTCTAAATGTCCCAGACAACACAGTCTGCTCTTTTCAGGTCAAACCTGGAACTAACTGTTGTACAAAAATACTCATAACTCATATAATAAGCGATCTCAAGCTATTAAGTCACAAAAAAGTGACTTCATATAGATAGGACTGCAATGACTATTTTTGGTATATAAAAAAACAAACAAACATAAATATACACCTTTCTATCATTAAATCTAAATACGTACACATGAGCTGATGCAGGTGAGAAAGGAGAGAATGACTGCACTGGCCTGTTGTTATGGCACTTGTAAGCTTAGAGTTAAAACTTGTGTATTTTTTTGACTGTTAATCAATTATCTTACTGGCGCAAAGAAATATGGATATACCAGAAGCCCTGCTCTCACACCCTACTTGTGTATTAAGCAGGATCAGAAGGGGCAGAGCTGTACCCACAAAAATTGACAATCAGCACCATGTGTGTCCATATTTAACGCTTAAAAGAAAAACACAATCGCCTTATACAGAACTCCCACTGTGACCCCATATGGACAGAAGACACAGATTTTTCATGCATGAAAGTGCATGATTTTTTTTTTTGGCTCAATCCATGATCACCATCTCACTGGACTCTACATTCCCCTTCAGATGTTTGGACTCATTGCCTTCATATCTGTGTCTATATCCATATCCATATCAGAGGCCTCTCATCTTCCCTGTCTCTAACCATTTTCTCTGCCACACCATGCCAACTACAAGGTCATTGTATGTACATCTGCATCCTTTGTCCTGACTACAGCCACTAAATATACATGTTATTTAAAAATTATGAACAAAATATAAGAAAACCAAAGTGGGTTACATAATGTTGACCGTGAGAACAAAGTCTAAAATTCAGTGGATCTCTCTACAAACTTTTTGCCAGACCTGGGTACCTAGCGTTTCTTGATATACACATTTAGATGGTAAGATAGTTAGATAGCAAGGCATCATTTTGTTCAATATAATCAAGGCCCAAAGGTTCAATATGTTAACCTGAAGAAGTGATGAAGACACATTTTAGTACTTCCTCATAGATAACTGCTTCTTTAAACAAAATGTCATGGTCCTTTCCTTCCTAGAATGCTACTTCAGGGCATTTGGATAAAAGGTGCAGTTGTATATGACAGATGAGACCAATTATGAAGTAAAACAATCCAACGGGTTCATTTAATTTCTGCCATTAAATACACTCAGCGTATTTTTAGACTTCCGGTTTTCATATTCTCTGTATCTCTGTGAGAAAGTACTATTTTCTCTCATCAGTATCTCCCTACAGGAGGTAGTCCTCGGAATGCCGTTAATGTAGAGGCACTTGGGGAAGGAGTATCCCAACCTGTAAGGCTGCATCCACAGTGTCATATTTCCTGTGTGGTAGTTCCAACATCCAGGATTGAACAATATTTTCTTTTTTGCCCCCTTCATTTTCAGGTTTAGGAAGCACCAGCTGCATCTTTTAAATTGAAAAGCACAGTTGGATCCGAAGACTAGAGGTACCAGATTTCCAAAAATGGGACTCTTTCCTAATCTCCTAAAATTAGAGCATGGAAATGGGTGGCCGAGAAAGGAAAATAACCTTGGCAGGTTAGAAGGATAACCATATGAATTCAACAAGTGATGTGCACCTCTTATGACTTATTGTGAGACCTCGCAGCACCAGACTGGAACTCAGGTTGTGCATTTCGCCACAAAAAAAACAAGAGCAAGAGATCAGTATGAGTGACTGTACATATCAAGAAGGAGGAACAAGCAGAAAATAGAAGAGAGAGAGATTGCAGGGCATCCTTCACATCTGCGGATAAGCCAGATTATTTTACAGTGAGCCTGTCCATCTTTGAGCTTGTCAGTTATTACTGGTCTGAGCAAAGGGGAAATTAGTGGGCAGTGTATGGCATTTCAAGAGATTTCCCTGTCAGTCTGTGAATATAAAATTCTGATCTCCTTCCAACTGTATTCACTGAGGTCAATAGTTCACCTTGGTGACTGGTCTTTCACGACCCCCACCATCCACCAGTTGGTTGACAGAGCGCTTGCGGTTGCGTTTAAGTTTAGAGTCCTTGTCGAAGACTTCACCGGAACGAAGCGCTGATACGAGATCATCAAACTCCCCCACCTCCTCTGACACACTGCCTCCGGTGCTTTTCTTTGCTCTTTTCTCTCGTTCCCGCTGGTCCTTCAGCTGGGATAGATAAATGAACAGAGATTTACATTTAAAATAGCCATGATCATTCAGGGTAACATATGATATTACAATTTTTCTTGATTGCTAACACACAATTCATGAAACGATTAACCATTTTCTCACACAACTAAACACAATTTCAAAACTACACACCAACTTATACAAACTTCAGACTTCCAGGTCAAAATCAAATATTTTAGTCTAAAACATATTCTCTTTCATCAGAATCTAATCTTTGGCCTCAGATGACACACAAACCTGTCAAATACACTATTTCACTTCCTAGAGAACACTAGTGAGATCAATTCAAAACACTGTTACAAAAACCACCTTTTGGGAATCGGGAATCATTTTGCAAGTCAATGTCTATTAGAGTTTGCAACATAAATAGAGGGGTGCAGATAACGTAAAATTCAGCAATTAGCTCTAAGAAAACTTCATTATCATTACACTAGTGTAAACTGATCTTACAGTAGAAGAAAAGCACTAGAAAAGATCAGTTCAAATAAAGAATTGTATATGAACACAATACAGCATACTGTCAATTACTGTACAGTAAAAAATTAATAAATACAGCATCCTCTGCCACACTATAACAGTTTCTTAGTCTTCTGACAGAAGACTTTCTCTAGCTCCCCTACAGAAAGTCTTCTGTAAGTCTTTTCTTGCTCCCCTAGACAGTCGTCTATCATAGGGTGTGGCATTATATTTCGGTGGTGTACAGAGAATAGTGAAAGTTCTCTCATCTAAAGTATTGCTATTGTGGTGCGAACTACGGGGGAGCTAGGGGGAGCTCGGCTCCCCTTAATAAGACATGGGCTCCCCTTGAAAACGTGATTTGTGAAATTTTGGGGGGTCTCAAAAAATATTGACAATGAGTTATTTTGACGTGCAATTTCAGTTTTGTGTAATGTGATCGTGGATTATTATGTGTAAAATTGCAAAAATATCATTCATTCATGCATGACTGCGATTTAAACCTAATTAATTTCAATAAAGATAACTATACATATGTGTAAAATTGTGAGCATCAAGGTGTGGGGGCGCTGCGGTGCAAATTCCACTCATGTTTAGTACGTTAACTCAAAGATTCGTAGAAAAAATATAAACGTTGGACTCTGTGGTCTATTTTGTGTTAAGGTAAGGCATGTTATTTGCAATTATGTGTTGTGGCTGGGTTGTTATAGGTCTGCGTGACTCTCGATGTCTTAGGCCTAATTGAACGGAGGAATTATGGTATTCTTCTGTAGCCTGACGACGAGTAACTTTAACCCTTGGTCATGTGAACTAAAAGACAGCCTGATGCTTTGTTTATAGACTATTTGTGGGTGGCTGTTTGTTGTTTCACCTATCAATTCGTGTCGATAAAGTATAATAGGGTAAATCCTGTATAGTGATTTATCCTATATAGTGCTTGCATAAAGCAAGTAGTGCATACACTTGTAGCTGTTATGTATCTTTGTAAGTATGTAAAATTGTAAAATTTTGTAAATCCGGTTTACAGATCATTGACACATTTTTCTGTGCATTGACATTAGCCATGCAGAATAGTAGCCATTTACCGATAAGCTTTAAACGAGAGACAGCCCAGATTTTGCGTAAAAAACCTTCACCAACAATATAAGTAAACTTCAACAAAACCAGATGTTAATGAAAGACAGAACGACCTCCAAGCAAGTGTGAAATTATCCAGATGAACATTATCTGTGGATCCTGTAAGCATCTGTGTGTGTTCTGTGTGTATATCTGTTTCAGGCAAAGATGTACCATGGCCTCCATGCGCATTCTCCTCTCTTCCTCCTCTTTGCGTCGCTGCATGTTCTCCAGATCATGTCGGGCCTCGCTGAACGACTGCAGGAATATGTCAAAGATTCCAAAGAACTCATCCGGTTGCATGCAACCTTCCTCCTCTCCAAAATGCTTCAGAGACTTAGAAAACTGGATTGAAGAGGAAAGAGAGGAGAGTGATAACAATGAGGATGAGTGTGGATTGCGCTGAGAAACAACAAAGAAACACAAATTAGTGGAAAAGCATGATTGGCAAAACAAATGCAACACATGGGGCAACCCATAACTTGGAAGATTGCATTGTGTACCACCCACCTATTACCAGTGTTGCCAACTTCGTGACTTTGTCACTAGATTGAGTGACTTTTCAGACCCCTTCAGTGAGGTTTCTTTCTTTCTTTTTTTATAAATTGCCTAGCGAGTCTAGCAACTTCTTGGACAAACCTTATCTAGTTTCCAATACTAGCAGGTGTGTTGTCATGTAGTGACATTTGGCAAACAGGCTTTTAGCTACTTTCCACTGACAGTATTCGGCAATAGTGCTTATTGATAATGTTGGGTAATATAACTCTAAGAAAAAAGGTACAAAAGCTGTCACTGGGGCAGTACCCTTTCAAAAGGTACACCTTTGTACCTTATTTACCCATAAAGGGTGCACAATAGTACTCTAAAGCAGGTGTGGTAAACTCAACCCTTATGGCGCTTTTCCACTGCGTGGTACGACTCGGCACGGTACGGCACAGCACGGCTTGGCTCGGTTTGCGTTTCCACTGCAGTTCAGTACTGCTTGAGAGTGGGCGGGATTATTCACATATTCAGTTGCGCCGCCTCTATTGCCTCCTGAAAAACTTTTTCATTCCGCATCGCCCCATCAAGCTCTCGCTGGATCTGCTCCTCTGCTATCAACGAGAGAAATGTCCGTACTTCCTCAACAGACAACGAAACAGCCACTTTTTGGTTGTTAAAAAAGGTGCGCTTGTTCAAAACAGTTGCATTCGATCCTTCGCTGGCTGTGCTGATTTAAATCTAGCGGTTCTGTTGTGTTTGTGTCGCAGGTAGTGACGATTCTCTCCGGCCAATCCGTGATCAGCAGAGTTTACACGTCACGTTTTGGTAACGGTACGGTTCACTTGGAACCTCAACCGAGGTGGTACTTAAAAAAGTACCAGGTACCAGGTACTGTACCCAGTGGAAAACCCCCCAAAAGTGAACCGTACCCAGCTGTACCGTGCCGTACCATGCAGTGGAAAAGCACCATTAGAGGGGGGCTGTCCTGCAGAGTTCAGCTCCAAAACTAATTAAACAAACCTGAACAAGCTAATCAAAGTCTTTAGGTGTGCTAGATACTTCCAAGCAGGGATGTTGGTGTTGGTTGGAGCTAAACTCTGCAGGACAGTGGCCCTCCAGGTGCTTGACACGTCTTCCCTAAATGTACATATTTCTTTTTAAAAGGGTAAAGCCACAGTGAAAGCTTTTGTACTATTTTTTTCTGAGAGTGTCATAGAGATATCATAGGCTGCATGCTCCACCATCCTACATCTTCGGTTAATCCCTGACACATTTGCCAAAACACACACACAGTTTCTTCTTCCTTATGTGTGCATGATGTAATAGGTCACACCTGGTTTAATGACCATATGCCCTCTTATCAGGACCAGCTGCCTGCTTCATGGATGCCGAGAGAGAAGGATGAATCATTTTCACTGTGAGAGCCCAGAATTCACAAACCCATCACCTTGGAAGTAAGCTTGACATTATTTTTCAGAACTGATATGGTAGCCATTAGTACTCTTTGTTTTGTTTTGGAACAAAGATCTTTTGATCTCTACTTAAAAATGGACTGCTTGAGCTACATAATCAATTTGTACACAGATGCTGTGGATGAACTTTTCAAACCAAATTTACATACGCAAAAAGTGCATCCTCTTTTACTGTGGTTTGGCATACAAAGGTGCCAAAGGTCTTTGCTCCAAAAGCCATTTGAAGGTCTGTCTGCCAAGAGAGTATCTGAGTCTTCGCCCACAGTAGATTTGCCATGGGGAACTCATTTGTCTCAGTTCTAACTAGCATCTCTATCATTGTGATTCTGGCCAAGTTCTTTGTCTCTCAGTTCAATGGAGCAGCTAATTATCTCATAAGAGACAATATTCCATGTGAAGTCAAAACTGTTCTTTTTTTTATTGTGAAACAAACAATAATTTCGCTTTCCAGCACTGAGCTTTAGCTTGTCATAGATCTACCATTTTGAGGGCATCTGCAGTCCTGAGACTATGCAAAAAATCTTAAAATCTCTGCTTAAAATCTCAAGCTTTAGGTGGTGAGAGTCTCAACAACTTCTGCACAAGCCATCAGAGAAGAGATCTAACAGTCTCTTCAACATCTCAGTGTTGACAATACTCTACCCTTGTTCACAGCCGTAATGTTTGTGTTAATTTTAGCCCACCTCAGATGACAGAATTGCTTACAGGAGATGGAATTCTGACCTGTCGAGGGCAGCAGGAAAAGGTAGATCTGTCTGGAAAGCACAGGGAGGCCTTTGTGTCCAAATAACTCGTAGAGCTTCAAGGTCAGCCATTTCTCATGAAGTCTCTCCGAACTTTTATGGCTTTACTAAGAAAATAATTTGGATAACGGTGGACGGGGTTAAATTGACGGTTCTGTTATTGGGAGTGGAGCTCGGATAAAGACTCTGTCAGTCTGCCCAGTGACCAAAACATATCCCTACTCACACTTTCCACCACCACAAAAAAGGCCACTAACACACTCACAAACACACATGCACAAATCCCAAATGTATTCCCATTGGCTTTCATAATGGTTCTCTTTCATGTATTTGAGAGTTGGGGACATACCATAGCGGAGTGGAGTTGAGACCAATCCACATTTCAAAAGAAATAAATCTCCTCAAACCCTTCAGTAAAAACCCTGAGAAATTTAGGACCGGCTGCCGGGATTCCCTGGGATGTTTAAGTCATCATGCCGAGCCACGACGGGTACACAAAGCCCTCTCTTTTCTCTCTGTCTTTTTCTTTCTTTTTCACTCACTCCCTATTCCTTCATCTTTCTAAGATGTCAGGCTCCGGCCCATGCACAGGGTTGGCAGAGCTCAAAACGATAGAGAAGGGGGGACGGGAAGGCCTGCTGGGCTCCTCCAGAGAGGGCCTATCCTTCCATGATTCTCTGAAAAAGCCCAGCTCCACTCTACAGCCCTCTACTGTGACCCACTCAAAGACCTGTTCTACCCTTAACAATAACTCTAAGGGCATATTGGAGAAAACATTTTCAGCCTTAGACACTCAGGGAAAAGCCAGGCCTCTTGTTTTCTCTCTCTCTGCAAAGGAAGCTTTGTGTGATGATTGCTTCTGGCTAAAATGAAACCCTTTCTTTTGAAAAAATGTATGTGCCAATAGCTTTATTAGGTTGGGTATATAAGGATGGAGGTTAAAAAGAAAGGGTAATGATTGTGACTGAATAATTAAGTGAAGATGTTACCTTATCTTTGGCTTCAGCGAGTAGTTCCTCAAGTTCAGAGAAGCTGAAGCTAGCGACTGTGATGAAGTCACTGACCACTGGGACAAACTTGTCTCCCCGGTCACATGCTCGGCTCTGCTGGTATCGTAACTCCTGATGTAAACCGAATAAAATTTGTATTCAAACAGGAATCTTTTTTGTTGTTTCTAATTAAATCTGACTAAAGATGTTTTGATTTTTATTGATAAACTGTCTCTCTAGGAGGATGTAGGAACTCTAGGGTTTTGAATTCACAATTAGAATGTAAATAAAGTGAACATGTTCGGCAATTTTATATAATTTATATTCCTATATTCTTTTATATTCTTATTTTTCACTTCCAGTTTTTTTAGGACCAGTGTGACGTGTATTAGTTGTGCAACTGTAACTTCAATGGAGTTAGTTCATTAGCCAGCAAATTACTAATATTTTCTGACAAACTACATCAACATTACACAAAATAGAACAAGTTTACATAAAGGAGTTATTTTGATATGGAAAATGTGTACTGTTATCAAGCCAAACATTTATTATAAATATTGAAAAATGCAATGATTTGGAGGTTTCACTTAATGCAACTATTGTAAAAGAGTGTTGCATCAGTGAAAATACTAATAACAATAATAATAAAGGTGAATGTGAATGTGAGTAATGTTTTAGGGCACCTCTGATAAGAATGCTTTTAGTTGTAGAAATGTAAATGATGGATGACTCACCGCCTCCAGAGCTTTCAGGCCACTCCTAATGACAAACACTTCCTTCTCCAGTTCAGCCAGACTAAGAGTAACACAGAGTAACAGTAAGACAAAAACAGTCTTTAACCAACTGATATACAAAACAGCATAAGCCTATCAAAAACAATAGTACATACTATATTTATACTCATCAGTATGCAGCGTGTGACTCACTTGACTTTGGCAGCTTCTGGTACAGTGGCCAAGTCCTGTTGAATATTGAGGATGTCCGGGTAATTTTTCTCAAAGATCATTATCAGGTAATGCAACATGGTGATGTTCCTGTAGAAAATGCAAATAGAATTATTAATTTATTTCAAGTTTAAAGCAAAGAAATGAGAAACATATTTATCAGTGCTATTAATCCACATTTAGTGATTTTTTTTTTTAAACAGTGAATGGATGCTTTGCATTTTTTTAAAAGATTTGATGCAATTTATGCTATTAAAATGCTATTTGAAAACAGAACTGCAATTATTTTATTAGAATAAAAAGAAAGAAAAAACATACAATGCCTCCTGTGAACACAGTTAAGTGAGAACTAAATTTATCTCAATGGTAGCAAAAATAGTGGAAAGTGTAATAGATGCATTAACAGAAAACGTGACGTTAATTGATGCATTCAGATGAACAAGCTAAAAACCTCTTTATTGACCTCTGACCTGTCTATACTTGACTTGGTGTCAATGATCTTGTTGAGGCTGGACACTTTGAAACCATATGCGTTGCCCCTTTGTCCTTTGTTCATGAAGTTCCCGAAGGCCAAAACCACTTCCAGAACCTGTGTCAGGCGCTTACTTCTCATCACCTCACGTGACGCACACAGAATAGCTAAAGATATGAGAAAAGATATCAAAGATGTTACTGTAGCATCCTTGATGTCTATATAGCACTGACATTTTTATTATCAGGCAATACAGACACCATGATCTTCTTTCACAGACTTAACTGGAATTTGTTGATTATTAAGAGTTTATCATTTCTGGATTAAGTATTCATAAGTCACAAGTTAGGTCATAAACAGGCTCAGCAGATATGCAGAATTCAATAAAGTTCTACACATTCCTCATTCTTTTGTGTTTGTACAAATATTTTGACTAATTGAATTGTGCTTTTAGCTACCAATAAGAGTGTAGTACCCTCAGCTCTGTTAAACACATTTTATCACATGTAATTCCAATGCACAGAATGTGCAGAACATGTGGGAAAAGGCAGCAGATTCTGCCTGGACCCAGTCAAAAACACAATTCTGATCAACTGAAAGATGGTAAGAATAGTTTGCCAGAGGATAACATATTGAAACCAAATCATTCTGTATGAGGGACCAAAGGGCAATTGTAATCATTTCATGATCAACATGATTCACTATACAAGATCAGTGCCCACAGTAATGTCAGCATGAATTAACAGACAAATAAAGACATTTCTGGAAAAAAATTAATAAATGTTATATATATATATATATATTCATTGTCCCAGTTCCAGTCCAGTGTAAAACCCTACATTTTCCAGAAAGTCCAAATTACTAAACAATACTGGTACTAAACTGATGTTTAACTTCACTATGTTTTGTGAGTGTGGTGAACTAGTCTTAACTCAAGTTTTCTCTCACAATTCCCATCATAGAGCCACAGTACTGCAGTCGCTCCAGCGGGAACAAGAAAGAGTACGCAACTTTGAAGCCTGTCCACAATTTTCCCGCCGCCAGTTTCCCACAAAAAGCGTTTTCCCGGAGGATCTTAGCCAAAGTTAGACTTCCTTTGCCTGGATGTTAAAACATTCAAAATGCTTTCCTGTTGACACGATTTAATGTGCAAGGGTGGGCCAGAGAAGTCCTTCATTTGTTTTGTCTGTGTTGATGGCACCCATTCTTTTTGCTTAATTAGACACTGCTATTATTTCAGTGTCTTGTTACTTGTGCTTGGATTTATAACTGTAGACATGACATGGCATTGTCAAGTTAGGGAAACTGTGTCATGTTAGCATCCTTATTGTTTACCCTTGTGCTTGTTTTTCACTTTGAGGTTGTGTAAATGAGTAGTCAGTATTAGAGATCAGTGTGTGTGTACTGATAAATCTGAGGATATGCAAGGCGTTAGTGATCTTTTCAGTAAATAGCCATTTAAATTCCAGTCAGTTTTTCACACAAAGCTAATGTATGGCTATGTATCACATTATGGAAAAGAGCAGCATAAACAACCTTCACAACATCTCCTTCTGTGTTCCACAGAGGAAAGGAAATCATTTTTTAAATGACATTAAGGAGATCAAATGTTGTTTTTGGTTGATCTGTCCCTTTAAGGTTAGCTAAGATCATTAATGTGCAGGGACATGTTTTTAACCAGAATTTGGGCCGGCTTATGCTCATCTGAAGTACTTTGCAAGAACATGCATGCCATGACTCTTTCTTGAAAAGCTTGAAACTCTTTGAAGAAAAAAAGCAACGTTTATGAGAATGACTCTCCCCTCTCAACATGTGCCAGCTTTCCAAAACAGCCTCCGTGGAAACTCTGTTCTTTATTTGAACTGGAGATAAATTCAAGTATAAAAGCCACACAGCCTCACAAACATACCAGCCCTGACTCATGCTCTAATATCCACTTCTCCCACATCACATTTATACAACAGTTTCTGGGCTCTATCACTTCAATACCAGTCTGTTCATTTGCAAAGAAACACCTCCAGTAAACATTCCCTCTAAACCTACCAACCTTCAACTTTTGGCTTTATTTCTGCTAGACGCTCTGCAAACTTCTTTTTGAAGAAAAGAGACTGGAGCCTCTGTTGATAGTGGTCGATTCTGATAGAGAGAAAAAAAGTCAAAATTATTCAGTTTCAGACATTGGCTTGAATCTTACGAAAGGTCACATTTCCTCCCAAAATGGACAAAAACACATATTAATTATATTTTTATCCCCTGTAATTCTCATTATTCTCAAAGTCATTTTACTTTTTTTTTATTAATCATAAATCTTTTTACATTATGTTTAAAGATAAAGTTTAAAAATGTTAAGAACCTCAATGTCATGAAAAGAAATGTTAGCACGAGTCCTGTTCTACATGTATGCACTTACTATAATAACTATGTACAGTCCATGAACCCTATCTTTCTAATCTAACATTATTTATAACCATATTAATTATTTATAACCATATTAAGTAGTTACTCAGCATTTGCTTCTGTAAGAAACCTATTTTACCAAGTATGCAGACATAGCCGTGGGTGCTTAGTCAGCATGACTTTGCGCATTGTTGCTTTGTAAAATGTTGATTTATGCAAGTATGCATGCTTGTCAAACATGGCTGCATTCATGCACTGGCGTAAAGTATGTTTCTGGCATTAATCGTCTTTCTTGGATGTGCATGTTGTATATATTTTCTGCTAAATGATGAATCCCCCCACAATGTGATGTGACTTTGGGATTTTTAGATATCACATATTTTTGCAGTGTCCTGTTTCTTTGGAGGTAAAATATGCTGGAGAAAAGTAGCTCATAAATCACTGCTAATCCTGGTTTGTTGCCTGTTGTGTAATTTATGCAGTGGTGGGCCGTCAGGGCCAGCAAAGCCTTCTCTGCTGGCCTAAACATTATCAGAATCACTGATTTAGTTTTAATATATTTTTCCATGAATGTGTATTCAATTATTTCCAATAGTCTATTCTCTTCAGTTCATAGCTTTTCTCTTGGTTGCACTGCTTCCAGCAGTGTATGTTTATATTAGAGCTTTTATCCAATAATTTTTCAGCAGTCGTGTTGCCAGGGTCAAAGAAATCTGCCTTAAGGCCTTCAGAATCAACAGTGCAGGTGTCTGTTAGCTTAAATCAATGGCAATGAAATTGGCAATTGCTTTAACCAATCAGATTTCGAGTTGGCAGCACCAGGGCCATCTAGCTGGCTAACAATAACGTCAGCATTTTCTCGTCCTTTGATTGGATGGTCAGCGTACTAGCTAGCAAACAGCATCACTGTAAATCATTTTATTAAAACTTAGTAAAACTTTTATTACTGTTCCTCAGGTTTAGATTTTCAGTGCATTTTGAAAAAATATTTGCCTACTATATTTAGTCAATCTAAAAACAGTAGTCCTAATGACTGCGGAGAACAACCACACACCTCCTCGGCACCGGCTCTGTGAAAGACTCGTGAAGATGAAAAACCACTAGAGTATGGTAAGTTCATTTTCATTTTTGACTCTTTTATCGCTTGATGCGTTGTATGCTGATGTTATTTGCGCGATATAAAGCCAGGTTTAAGTTTCCGTAAGAATATCTCAGTTTCCCGAGTGGAGCTGTATTAACCGGTCTTTTCCTCCGGCCGCAGATTTAATACTGAATTTATGCAATTCAGTATTAAATCTTTTGATCAAGAACTTTACATAGTATTATTCATCACTCATCCAAAGTAACTTTTTCTTTTTCCTGAAATCATACTTCATTGTGCTCATTTATTAAATTAATTTCATCTAAGATTCAATTATTTCGCAGTACCTGCTCATCTCAAACAGGAAGCGGTCAGCCCGGGCCATACGCTCAAGCTCATACTTGTGTTCCTCTAGAAGGTCAATATCACTTTTCTCAGGAACAAACTTCAACAGCTGTTGAACACATTTACCCATAGAGAGTGTTTACTCGTAGGTAATAAAAGTACTAATCAAAAACATTGTAGTTATATTTTTCATGATCAATCCATTAGATAGCCCTCACCTGCTCTAACATGTCTTTAGCCAGCTCTTCCCTCTCATCCATCTCTAGAATGGCTCTCTTTATCTCTTCATTGCTCATTTTTAACCTGTATGGACAGAAAGTGTTTTTTTATTATATAAACTGTTCATATTTAACATGTTAGTAAGAAAGTAGAAACACCAGTTACTCACTTTTCAGATTCAGATTAGACCAATCTACATATTTTATATAACTATAATAAGTTGTGACCAGTTATTACACCATAATTAGCCGACAATTTCAAAAACATTTTTACATGTTGTGCTTCATAATCATAGCATCAGTTTCCCGGGATTACTGATAGGTTGACTTTAATACAATGCTAACAATGCTGACTCAGGACAAGTACATACTTGGAAAGCAGGATGACACAGTTTTGGGCCCTCCGTCCATCAATAACAGACAGCTCTTTGACTTTGCGCGAGCTCACATAAAGGTCATCCGTTGATCCTGTTTCTTTCTGCAGAAGAGGAGAAAACGGTTTGATGGTTTGGATTCAATTTTTTTTGGATTCAATCCCATTTTTCTAAACTGAATGAGTCAGTGAAGAAAGCATACAATATATTTCTAACTTTCTATATAGCTCTCAAAAGGCCAGTATTCAGAACAGTGTGTCAGAAATAATCATGCAGCTGAAACACAACAGATGCTTGAAAGAAGCTCGGCTGTTTCAGCGAGAACAGTCATCTATTTATAGCTCTGGACCATTTCCTGTGCTGTGAATGCCGGGGAAGATTTTTTTTAATAACACATTTATAACATTTAAAAAAAATAAATAAAAGGTTAGTTTAGTCTGGTTGTGAATCTTTTTGTAAGTGGATATTGTTTGAGGTTTAAGGGAGGATCTTGTAAAGAAATCTAAAGTGACACCTTGACATGCGTTGCTTTCCATAGCTGCAGAAAGAGGAAAATGAAATACAGATACAGTAACATTTACTGCCAGCACTGGAGAAGATAATGAAAGATACGGTATATATGACTAATAAGAAAAGAGGATAAAGATGCAGTTTCACATACTGTAGAGGATTTATTGCATTATACTTATTGAAGAAGATTTTTTACTTCAAAAACCAGGTTTGATTCTTTTGTAGTCAGACTGATCATTTTTATCCAATAAAATACTCTTCAGAATGAGAATGTCCCTCTTAATTATAAATACTACCTTCATTCAACTAGTAATAAGAAGTGCCAAATTATGGTTCATCAGTTTATTTTCCAAAACATGAACTGATTAAAAAGAAAGTAGAAATTTGATTAATTTTGAAGTTGCCTTGATTGGTTGCATCCACGGTACAAGATGTTAAGTACGGGTTTGCTATGTGGTTTGTAGTCTGGCTGTAAAACTGATGGCAACATACAAAAGAAAACTTGTCATCAAGCCAATTCACGGGGTCTTTAAACCAAAGGGGCCACTGTTAAACCGAAGCAATGACATACAGTCGGGGAAGATTTTTTTTAATAACACATTTATAACATTTAAAAAAAATTAATAAAAGGTTAGTTTAGTCTGGTTGTGAATCTTTTTGTAAGTGGATATTGTTTGAGGTTTAAGGGAGGATCTTGTAAAGAAATCTAAAGCGACACCTTGACATGCGTTGCTTTCCATAGCTGCAGAAAGAGGAAAATGAAATACAGATACAGTAACATTTACTGCCAGCACTGGAGAAGACAATGAAAGATACGGTATATATGACTAATAAGAAAAGAGGATAAAGATGCAGTTTCACATACTGTAGAGGATTTATTGCATTATACTTATTGAAGAAGATTTTTTACTTCAAAAACCAGGTTTGATTCTTTTGTAGTCAGACTGACATTGTTCGGGCAATACGTAAATTGCCAGCTACAAGCCAACACTGGAAATGAAAATTGTTATTTTAGCTGTTCATTTGGACAACTTGCTCCTTAACTGGTTAAAGAAACATAATTGCCCAAGATATCTTAAATGCAACCAATACATTACATCTCTGTTTCACTAACGCAGTGGTTTTAAATCCACTGCTCTGCACATTTTGTGTGTCTCTCTTACTGACAAACTCAGTTCACTTCATGGAGCTCTCTCCTAATGAGCTGATGATCTAAATCAGCTGTGTTAAATAAGGGAGACACACAAAATGTGCAGAGTTGTGGGTCCTCAGGACCAGGTTTGAAAACCACTGCACTAAGGTGATTCTTGCAACTGGAAAGAGTTACACATTATGGGTAAGCGTGAGCAGACAAAAATTATGTTTGCTAGTAGTAGGTTTCTTTGTGCTTACACTTGCCAAAGCCACCGTTGACCTCTTCTGGCACACTGGTGGAAATAGTGCACATGAATGTGCATAAACGTTTATCTGGAATTTGTGTAGATGATAAGCAAATTTGAGGACCCAGAGATACCAAGAAATGCCAAGAAAAAAGCAAAGACTGCTGGTACTGCAACAGTAAAATGACAGAATAGAGGTGTGGAAAGTTGGGTGAATGATAGTGAGAGCACATCTGAGGTGATAAATGATCCCAGGAAAAAATAAATATTTTTTTCCCTGCTCAGAGAACTGTTGGACACCTGTGGTAAGCATATGGCCTGAAATTCAACATTCTTAAGCCCATTAATGACAGCAATACCAGTGTTAAGACTTTAGAGTCCTGCATCTTCCTTTAAAATATCAAAATGTTTAAAGTTGTTTGATACCAGTTTCCATTTTAGCCAACTGACTTCCACTGACTTCCATGTTAACAGTACCAGATCCCAGAAGTGTGCCACAATACAGCTTTGCAGTTCATGGAGCACAAAACATTTTAGAATCCCTACAGCGGGCGGTGATATAGGGAGAGCTTTGATCTATAGAAGAACTAAAGAGAATCCAAGACCTCATCAAGGCTTTCTGGTTTCAAAAATATTACTCAACACTAATAAACCCAAAGTTAACTTTCCATGAGGAGTAAACATTTGATGGTTAAAATCATGTGCACAATGACAGTGAAAGTGAAGTGACGTGTGGCCAAGTATGGTAACCCATACTCGGAATTTGTGCTCTGCATTTAACCCATCCAAGTGCACACACACAGTAGTGAACACACACACACCCTGAACACACACCCGGAGTAGTGGGCAGCCAATGCTGCGGCGCCTGGGGAGCAGTTGGGGGTTCGGTGCCTTGCTCAAGGGTCTCACCTCAGTCGTGGTATTGAAGGTGGAGAGAGCGCTGGTTATTCACTCCTCCCACCGACAATTCCTGCTGGATCTGAGACTCGAACCCGCGACCTTCGGGTTACAAGTCTGACTCTCTATCCATTAGGCCATTAAATAAATGTGTTTTGAACTAAAAGTGTTATGAGTTGGACACTTACATTCTAATGATGTTCTTAACGTTGAAATTGTCCAGGGGTGAAACATCTGGATTTTCTCCCTTTTCATCTTGTAGAACAATTTGCTGAAGGATGCGGTCTAAAAGTTGCCATTGCTGTATACTGCCTGCACCACGTTTATCTGAAAACATTTTACAAGTGTCAAAAACAAACTTGATTTGTTATAATTCTACTGCTTTCTTCACAAATTACCAAAAACGTTTAATACTATTTTTTTTGGAATATGATGTCATGGTAATGACATGCTTTTTCTGGACATGTAACAATATAATTAAATGGTATTTTTGGAGCGTGTACATATCATATCAATACACTCTAAACAAAAATGGTGCTAAATAGCACTAAAAGTAGTTATTTGGCTTGTAATCATAGTGGAACTACTTTAACTATCTTTAAAGTTGCTATACAGCACCTTTGTCAAATGGTACTATGTAGAACCATAAGAGGAACCCAATTCTCCTCCTTAGATTTTAGATATGTTACTCCACTCTCATATGTTTCCTATGAATGGGAATTTAATAAAATGGCAAAAGCTGTTTTGAATCACTTTTATGCTTTTCTGAGGTCAAAAAGTCTTGTGTGGAGGCCCTGGAATATTTCCTTATAGGCGGTCTTGGGGGTTGAGAAGCATGTTATCTTCAGGAAATACACTATATTTTAATGCCGTTTTTAATCCTTTCCCCCAACTAAACTAAGAGATTAAGAGAGAGTTAGAAAACCTTAAAAGAACTATACAAGGGCTTAACGGGTTCTTTGTATGGCAGTGGTGCTATAGCTCCTTAACCACCCCAAAGAACCGCTGAAGAACCACTGAAGAACCATACTGGGCTTAACAAGTTCTTTATATTGTATCGGTGCTATATAGCTCCTGAACCACCCCACGTGTTTTTCCTGTATAATACTGTAAAGCTGCTTTGAAAACAATCTGTATTGTATAAAGCGTTATATAAATAAAGGTGACTTGACCTCATTAGATGTGGAATGCAGGGATGGTTGTAATTTAATACAAAGGAAATGATACAAAACACAAACATGTACAGTAGTCTCTGTTCTAAACCTAGTAAGCTGCCTACAAAGACATCAGTTCAAGATTCACGGCATCACAGACATGCTCCAACCACAAAGAGTGTTTAAAACACAAATTATAAATATATATATGTATGTATATATATATATTTAAGATCCTTACATGGCATTTGGAGGCAGTGCTGTAAGATAGATAGAAGGTGGGTGTAAGCATCTGTGTTGCTCAGTTTCTTCTTGATCAGCTCAAACATCTGGCCAGCGCTCTTGGTGTCCACGTGTGTCTGAACAAAAAACGTACATTCATTTTTCCCAAATAGGACACACATGAAGTCAGGAGCCTTGTAAACAAATCTAATAATACCATGCTGTTCTGTATATAATAAGTGCTCTTTAAATTTAAGTACATAATATTATGCATATAGGTAAAAGATCTTACAATGTCAAAGCGTTTGGCCAGTTCTAACTCATCCTCATTCCGCACTATCTCAAAAAAGTCCAGATGTCTGAAACAAACACACACACACACAAACAGCCTTTCTATTAGAAGCAATGGTATGATGCATATACTTATTGTTAGGTGGAAAATGAGCCTGTTCTGTACCTGTCAAGTGTGGCATTATCATGTGCTCTCAGCTTCTCGATGACTGGCTGAATTCCTAACATCAGAAACTCATACCTAAGATGAAGGCGAAACTCTAGACTGTCCTTTGAGAGAAAGAGAGGAAATCATCATGTTAATAATGTATATACTGTATATCATACACATTTTTTTAATTTTTAGAGAAGTTTTGTCATCAGCTGACCTCTCCAACCCCAGCATTCAGCACAGCGTTTATGAATGACATGATGGCTGTCTTCAGATTTACTTCATCCCTGTAGTGTCCTGTACTTCTGTCCAGCTCGTTTAAAAGAGACTGTGTAAAAAAAATACAAAAATATATAATTGATAAATTCAATCTACAAATTAAATCTAATTCAAATTTATTTTTTCCACCAAATATCAGAGTATTGCATTATCTAAGCAACATGCTACAAATGTTTAATGTAAGCATTACATTACAAAACATGTGAGCATTGTAAAGTTGTATTTTTGTGCGTACTTCAGGTAAAGAGAGCTATTTGTCTGATATGTGTGAATGACTCCTGATAAAGTTGCCCATGTAAAATATTAAATTATTAAATTATATAAAAATACTTTACATAGGCAACTTTATCAGGAGTCAGTCAGTCACATGAGATTCCATGGTGTTTAGAAATCTGCCTCTGTAGATAGTAGGAAGCAAGACAACTCACAAGCTGATGTATAATGTGAAAAGGCTGACTGCTGATCACTGTAAATCTCTCTTCCTTCGGCTTGCTCCCTTTTTATCAGAGGTCACCACGGCGGAGTGATCCGCACAACCGATTTGGCACAAGTTTTACACCAAATGCCCTTCCTGCTGCAACCCAGCCCTGAGACCGCACTAACTCGTGCAACCCCAGTGCTCACTCACTACGGCCAATTTACTTTGTCCAATTCACCTATACTGCATGTCTTTGGATCGTGGAAACCGGAGCATCCGGAGGAAACCCACACAGACACGGGGACACCATGCAAACTCCACACAGAAAGGCATCCTGGCTCAGCCGGGACTCGAACCAGGGACCTTCTTGCTGTGAGGCAACAGTGCTACCCACCGAGCCTGAGCTACCCACTGATCACTGTAAATAAACTTTTTTGTTAACTGTTCAATTGTTTTCCTACTGTACCTAATAGGCTGCTAAGGACTATAAATGACAGATTCCCCTGTTTTAAAGTCAGTGGAGACAGGTGGGAATGTTCTCTGATATTTCTCTGGAATGGGTTGCTAATGTCTGTTTATGGTGCTTATTGTGTCAAGAGTGCTCAGAGATCTATTGGGTCACTAGGAATCAACCATGCTTAAAAGCTAATATTTCAAACACTGACATTTGTTGTTGCCAGGAATGTCAACTACACATGAATAAACACACAGTAAAGACAAATCACCCTACATATGTTGCATACGATGCTCAATTCCTTTCTTACAAATCTCTCATTAAAAGCAACTATACCTGGAAGCGAGTCCTCTCTGCAGCATACTTCTGGTAGTGTACCATTGCTTGTAATACTTTCTTATGCCCGTCGGGCACCAAGCAAACAGCGCCCAGGATCTCCAACACAGCAACTTTGGTCTTGATGTTGTCCTGACGGAGGCTCTGGGAGATAGTGTTGATGCTCTGCGGGTGGGCCAGTACATGGGCACGGCCTTGGGAGTTGTTCATCAAGGCTTTTATGCAGCCGATGATGGATGTATGTATGCGGCTCTCTGAGGTTTCATAGTCCATGCTCTTCAGGAAGTTCAGAAGACACGTCAAGCCATCCAACTCGATGAAGCGCGTCACAAACCTGAAGGGAGATTCATCAAAGGTTTGTGAGGTTGGTTTTTCCAATGCCTAGAATGTCAGGAAACATAACTATCACTGCCACACTGTCCCTGCCACCAATCCAACAAAACTTGGTGTTTGTCAGGGCAATGTGAACTTTAGAACAGGGCCTAAACTATGAAAGCCCCTTTGAGATCCCATGGTCTTTTACCCAATGAGAATGACATATATTGGCACAAAGAATTCTATAAATAAAGTTGTGTCAGTTGAATGCAAAAGATCTTAGGAAGTATTTGGTAAAACCAGAAGCGACTATCTTTAAAACTTCTCTTGTGAAAACATTCTGATTTGCAGACGTCTTGGCAAAAGTCCCAGATGGCTTCTTTATATACTCAGCTGCATACTGAACAAGTCAACCATGAAAACTTGTAAATGCAGAATGGGCGTGTATCCTCACGTTCATCATATTGAGCTAAACCCAGGACTCATTATTCAGATTAATTAAGGTCATTCATGTCATTAACCCCTTCTCAAGAGTGGCCGATCAAGTGACACATCGTTATCACATATGTATAGAGGGTCTATGACATCACCTTTGGAGACCCACTGTCTACTAATAACAGAGTTTCTACCAACTCCATTCCTGCTCCTTACATGACTCATATTCCACATTAACCAAACACAAAGACTGTACTGACAACAGAGGGAGATGGTGGCAGTTGAGGAGCAGCAGTGACTTATCTCCTGTAATCACAATAGATACATTGTTTTGACAAAGCTCAAAGTTCAAGCCACCACAGTTTTTTTTGGCACCTGCTGGCAACAGAAAAACATGCATCTCCCTTCAGCCAGAGTAAATCAGTCTGTTATTATCCCATATAGTGTGACTCCTCATCTCTTGCAACCATGATCAAACCTTATTTTCCAAAGCAGACGTGGCTCACCTAGCATGGCTCAGTGATCTTTGGGTGACCTGTAATTTTTGGAATCTTTGGGAGCAGTGTACGCATGAGATCATATCTGGCCCACAGTCATTTGGCTTCTCCTTACCCCACCACTACTGTCTGGATTAGCCCCTTATCCAATTTCCACATCAAATCTATGCTAAGAGTTCACAGACCGTTTCATGGTCAAGTCCTATTTTGCTACTCCAGTTTTCTTACAGTAAACCGGTGTTACAGTTTTCTTACAAGGGCTCATAATAAATAGATTACTTAATTTGTGACCTTATTCCAAACCCTTTTAACAAAACATACCATAAGTATCATGGTACATTCATATATAAATATTGTATATATTTAGTACCATGCCATGGTGTTATAATCTGATACAATTACTGCACAACAGGACTGCCACTACCTTGAAAGGGTAATTTGAAATGTATACAATATGGCTCTCCTCAGTAAGAAATGATGTTTGGAATCTTTAATCTCACATTTATCAATAGTTCATTAAACAGTGAATGTCTAAGATCTCATTCAAACATACAACGCTTTGTTGTCTCAAATTTTGAATATTAATAAAATCTTTCTTGATAATAACATCACCTTTCTTCTTTGTTCTTTCTTTTCATGATTTTAGTTTAAAATTTCACATGAACTTTTATTCATATTATTCCAATGTGGAAAACATTCCCTTCTGAACTGACACTCCTTTTCAGCCAAGAAACTCACATTACGGAACAGGGTTTGAATTAAACATCCATGGTGGCAAGCAAGGCTGCTTACATAAAAAAAGTGGGTGTTAAGTCTTAAGATGTGTGGTCTGTACAGGGGCTTTTAGTTGAATATTCTGTCTCAACTTTTGTAGAACACTATCTTTGCTGCACAAAATCCACATTTGTTTACTGAGGTGCTGTTTTCTGATTGCTTAAAGAGGTCAGCTAGTTCCATTCCCACATCTGATAACCCCATTATGAACCCCTAAACACTGTCTCCGCGACCCTGTGTATTCATTATCATATTCCTCTGCTGTGTAGTTGGCACTAATGCCAGATTGAAACACGTCTAGAATGTCGACAGCATCCAGGTATAAATTGAATTGCGAAAATGCTACTTTCTCCAAAACCACTGGAGTGACACACAATAGCTTCCAGGGCTATAAAAAAGGGAAAGAAATAACACAAGTTGTACAAAGTTTCAGAGGGAGAAACTTCCCCTTGACAGCTTGAACGTAAAAAAAACCTCTTAAAATGGAAAGATATCATATGAAACACTAGATCTGGTGGTTTAAAAGGTTAAAGTTATTTAGGGTGATTTAACTGGCATTAAAAAGTGATTGTAAAGTCTTTAGTGATCATTTGGGATAGTCATAAGCAAAGCAGTAAAACAAGCAATAAAATGAAGCCAGCTAAGCCTTGATAAAGTGCCTTTCTGACCAGTTCACAGTCACACTCAGCCAGACTAAACGTGAACAAAGGTATGCATGTGTGCAGAATTGCGTATCAGTTACAGTTCACCAATCTGGAAAGAGCAGCCAGGAGTGTGTAAATTACCCTGGAAGCTGAGCATGTGGGGGGCACAGGTGGGGTAGTACATTGTCCCTTTAAGCCATGGCAAACACAAACCATTCCTCACAGGATGACTTCTGAGCTGCCTGAAGCTACCTCTCCTGCACTTTACTCTATTTTCCTTCAGTCATTGATGCTCACTAGACCTAGCTACTACACTTCTCACAGCACAGACAGAAAAACACAAACCCGTCCAAACGCTTAAAGCATTTAGGGTACAATTTTCATGAAAGCATTTGACAAATATGAAAACAATAAGTTGAGTTCAACATACATTACTTTTTGAGGTCATATCATCACTATTTTGAAACCTAATATTTGGAAATGAGAGAGAGAACATCAGATTTGACACAAACTGCAGAAGAGAGGGAAGAAGCTGGCTGTTTCTTTATTGAAACCCCACTGACAATTCATCCTTGCCCAAACATAGCTAAAAACATTCCTTAAGCTGAACATACTTTCCAGTGACAAACTAAACCGCAACGAGTTTAGTTACATCATATTTTCCATGTCATAACAAATTAAAATTTTTAATCACCCACTAAAAAAACTGCAGAAAGTACTACCTCAGTAATTCCAAAGGTAAATAAACATGTTGCCTCCATCTTACTCACTAACTTGTCACTAGTACTCTTCCCAATCTGAGCCCCTCATTGTGGTGGTGAGAGATTCAGGGTGTTCGGGAGGATGTTGAGAAATCTCTCTTGCTTTGAAGTGACATTTTGTTTGGGTTGACCAGCGGTGTGAAGACAGAGGCCCTGTGTCATAGTTGCATAGTTTATATTAAAAATACCAGATTAAGAAAGGCTTGCCATCTGCACACCCCTTCCAGAATGTGGACTAAAAAAAATAAAACAAGGTGGATCACATGAAACCTTCTTGGTGTGAGACGGCAGTATAATACAAATACAAAACTGAATTACATGTCAAGCAGCCAAACCAGAATGCATTAATGTTCACATGCAAACATAAACAGTGTGAGATTAAGCGTCTGAAAGAGTATCAAGGGTAAAAAGGTATGAAGTCATTTTACATTCCCAATGTAATTCCTACATACTCAGCTCAACATGCTAAACTCACAAGTATGTAATTCCTTCATGAGCAAAGTACACACAAGAGTTGGGCAGTAAGAAGAAAAATGAGAAGGATGGCACAGGGACTGAAGTGGCCAGGCTGACACTGATCTCTTATCAAACTCTAACAAGTACACTGGCAATGCATCAAATGACAGATTAAGTAAATTGAGTGTTCATGGCACACATAAAAATGACCTACAGTACAAGCTGTCAGAGCCAAAATGTCATGGTGCTGCATTTATCTTCCTGCTTTCAGTATTATTAACAATAGGTGGCAGATTTTTTGCACTGAGTAATGAATGATTCTTTTGTCTCAGCAGGCTAAGAGAGCAAGTGTATAGAGGAACAATGCTATATCATTAATGATAAAATGAAACACACAAGATTTGAACAGTATAAACATTTGCAAAGACTTTCTGTTGACATTCTTTTTAAATAATGTTTAAAAAAAAGCCTTTAGTTTACATCACAGCTTGAGAAAACTAATAATTTATTGCACTTGACAGGTGCAATAAAAGACACTGTACATTACATTTTTGAGAATTTATCCAATAACTACTCCTACACCTGCAGACCTGCCAAAAAAGGTATTAAATAATGACTAAAATATTAATAAAACAGAAGCTGATATTATCTTACACTACCTAGTCATTACCTAGCTAGAGTAGTTAAAAGGGCTACTTGCAAGTACTCAAGTTGATGATGCAAATACCTCAATCCAGAAACCAAATAATACAGACTGAAAAGAGACATGTGAAAACAGTTCCTCTGCACTCTTTTTTGATATTATTGAAAACGTTCAAGAGATTGAGAAGAAAATAAAAAAGAAACATTGTACCAGAAAATTATTTGACAATAGTAAACAGCTGTTCAGTGCTAACAACTTTTTCTACCTGCAACCCTGATCCGCAAAGAGAGCTTTTACCTCTTTTTACTACTGTTGATTCTGTCCTAATTCCCTTACATATTAATGGTGGAGTTCCCTTTAAAATCTTAAATGATTCCCTTTGAGCTAAATTATTGACCTGTTTCCCTTACAGTAGGTTACTGAATGTCAGATTGTTGTAAATTATCTGTTCTTCAAAAGGCTGTAATGACATTGCAAAGAAGGTTTGCTTGAGTTCTCATGTTGGCAGTGTGTGCACCACTTTCCATATTGGACAAAGCTGGTTACTGCATGACTGATGTGGATGTTACATCATCTAAATATGGCACTTGTTGGATTGATAACAGTGTAAAATGACTCCTAAAGCCATAACTTAGCTGATGGTAATGAAGCTGCAACTGCAAAAATAATATAATTGAAATAAACACTTACAAAAAATTTATGAAAAAAAACTCAGGCTGACTTGTAAACTGCAGGTATTCAACACATTGCACTACTAAATTGGATAATCAATATTTTAATTTCCTTCTGCTCATTTAAAGTAATTCCTGCACAGGCGTTAATGAGGTGTGAAAACAAAACTTCACACCTCAAAGCCACATTTACATCCATTAGCTGATTACATCCAAGTCTAGCTGCTCTCGAAGAACTCAAGGGTTACATCTATTTATAGGAAATCATTTGATTGCTTTTAAATTGCAGGCTGCTTGAGTTGTGTCCATCTTACTTTACTCACAGCAGCTGTTGAATGTGCACTGATGAGGTCACTCAGATGACACTAGTGTTGTCACGGTACCAAAATTTCAGTATTCGGTACCAGTGAAAATCCACGGTTCTCGGTACCAATTTCGGTACCAAAGCAAAACACAAAAACATGCTAATTAAAAAATGTGACTATACTTTCATTTAATCCAAACTGTGTACATATTTAATTTTAAGGGCTTTTAAAACCTTCTAGAGTTATTCAGCCAAGAATAACAACTAACTAAGATAGCTAAAAAAATAAAAAAGCCCAGAACTGCTTTTCTGACTGACATGACACAAACAATGTTAACCATTTGTACATTCTCTAACACGCATATTTTAGATTCACAATTCATTTAAAAGCCTCTGGTGTGTAAAAATAGTAAATATCATCATGTCCTCCTGTTTTTTTTAACCCTAATAAAAGTTATAGGAGCATTAAATAGTTATTTTATTTTTAGTATATTAGCGTTAGCTGCGCTTATGCTAACAATGAACTACTCTAAAAACAGCGGTTCATTTCAATCCGACATTCAAATTAAAATATTGAATAATATTCATAACAGAAGCAGTGTTTCCCACAGACTTGCACTCTATTTGTGGCGGCATATATATGCAAATTCATTCTCTGCCAGCAGGAGGCGCTTGTAGAGTGGGAGAGATACAGGTTTCCCTGGTAACGGCTGTAATCAAATAAGCGCTGCGCTCACAAACGCTGCTCACTGTGCTCAGGCATTACAGGCAAGATGAAATGAAAATGACATCCATAATTTTCTGAAGACAGTCGGTTTCCTTTAGAAATACAGTGATATAAAAACACCCGCACCGGAACATGGTTCCCTATCAAAAGCTACTCTTGATGCTGCGTTTCAATAACGCTGATGAAAATATACTTTGTTCGACCGGTTGTGAAGCACGTGTGCCTTCCTCAGAGCGAGCCGAGGACAAGGGTTCTCTTGCTTCTGGCGAAATGGAAACAGAGAGCGCCGCCTCTGAGCGTTTCTCACGCGATAACAAAGCATTTGAGGAATTGCTGGTGGTGGTGACTAACGCTGTGGCCAGGCTTAAATTGGACTGGCCACAAGAGCAGGAGAACTCACAGGTGCTCCAAGTTAGACGACAGATTTATGTTGGGTGGCCTGGGGGAGAGATCCCAACATCGATCGCTCCCCTTTTTCCCAGATCTAAGCCATACTCCTCGCACATATTTGTACCCACAATGTTGATTTATTCCACTATCGTGGGTGCTAAGGCGCATGGGTATGTGACGATGCCTCAGGTGGAAGAGACGCTCGTGGGCTATCTCTCCCCTGGTAGTTCATCGGCACTCAAGAAGCCAACCCTCCCCACCAAGCCTTGCAGATTAACATCCTCGCTGGTGGGAAAGGCGTTTCAAGCAGCGGGTCAGGCTGGTGCTGCCCTGCACACCATGTCGGTTCTGCAGGCTTACCAGGCTGACCTGCTGAAGGACCTGAGCACGGGCGGGAGCATTAGTGAGGAGGCGTTTTCAGAGCTGCGCCGAGCCACGGATCTGTCTCTTTGTGCGACCAAGCAGACGGCCCGCACCATTGGCTGTTCTATGGCTGCTATGGTTGCCACGGAGAGACACCTGTGACTCAATCTCACGGGCATCAAGGATAGGGACAAGGTGTTCCTCCTTGATGCCCCTGTGTAACCTTCTGACCTATTTGGCGACTCCATGAATACGATCGTCAGTAGGTTCCAGGAGGCCAAAAGACACGCAGAGGCTATTGATGAGTTTCTCCCCCGCCGTACTCAGGTGTCGGGGCTGTCGCCAACCGGTTGCTCTGCGGCGAGAGTCGCAGAAGGAGAGTGTGGCGAGCCGTATCATGTCGTCCAAAAAGAAGAAGTCCTGAGGGTCGAGCGCCTGGGACAGTGGGGGTTTCAACAGAGAGTAGAGGCTCCTTCCTGGCACCCTCAGGGGGTCGCTATACAATCTCCGCCGCCACTGGTGTTTCAGGGAGCAGCAGCCTCCAATGAAATGTTACGTGTTCGGTTGCCTCCTGCCACGTTTCGGGACGCCGGACATCTAACATCCCCCCAACAAAGCGAAGTGTCAAAACTAGTGTCCCTTTCAGAGAAACTGCCAGCACGGAAGCTACGGCCAAATATCTCTCCATGGGTAAAAAGGACTGTAGGGAAAGGCTACAGGATTCAGTTTGCATATCGTCCTCCGCGTTTCAATGGTGTGGTCTCCACTTCCGTGAAACCGGAAAGAGCGCATTTGTTGACACAGCAATGTCAAGCTCTGCTGGACAAAGGGGCCATAGAACGTGTTCCCCTGCCAGACAGAGTGTCTGGCTATTACAGCCGGTATTTTCTGGTTCCCAAGAAAGATGTGGGGTTGCGTCCAATTTAAGATCTTCGCAGGTTGAACAAAATGTTGACAATCAGGATGATTGTGTCTCAGATCCAATCTGGCGATTGGTTCATGACGATCGATCTCAAGGACACATATTTTCACATAGAGATCTTGCCACAATACAGGAAGTTCTTGAGTTTCGCTTTCGGGGTCGAAGCTTACCAGTATAGGGTTCTTCTATTCGGCCAAGTCTTGTCACCCCGCACATACACAAATGCATGGCTGCAGCTCTGGCTCCTCTACGACTCCAGGGCATCCGCATATTAAATTACAAAGACGACGGGCTGATTTTGGCTCAGTCTCAGGAGCCAACGGTTTTCATCCAAGGGCCAATCCCCAGAGGCAAATAAGGATTAAGCGCCAGGGGCTTCGTACCCTATCTATGTGGTTCAGACCCCGGTTTCTGACTTTTGGGTCCCACTCTAGGCACGTGATGTCATCGCAAGATGCTAATGACACATGCTTACCTCACGGGTTCTTAGATGGCCGTCCAGCTCAAGGGATCTGGAGAGGTCATCTTCTCGACTCGCACATCAATTGCCTCGAAATGATGGCTCTGTTTCAGGTTCTGAAATATTTCCTCCAGCAGTTAAGAGGCTATCATGTCCTAGTGTGGGTGGGCAACACTGTGGTAGTTTCTTAACTAAATCGCCAGGGCGGACTGTGTTCGAGCCGCCTGAACAGGCTAGCGCAGCAGGTTCTGCTTTGGGCACAGGACAAGTTCCTGTTTCTCAGGGTGATTTACATCCCCGGGCATATGAATGTGGCAGCAGACTTGCTGTCCAGACAAGCTGTGACACACGGGGAATGGAAACTCCACCCCGAAGTAGTCAGTCAAATCTGGGAAAGATTTTACGAAGCAAAGGTGGACCTCTTTGCTTCACAGGAGACAGCACAATGTCCCCTCTACTTCTCTCTGACTCCCCCAGCTCCCCTGGGTCTGGACACGATGGCCAATACATGGCCCAGACTGCGTCTTTACGCATTTCCCCCCGATCGCTCTGCTCCCGGGAGTCCTGGACATGGTCCATCAACAAGGGTTTCACTTCTTAATGATAGCGCCCCATTGGTTGACCATTGTGTGGTTCTCAGATCTAATATCCCTCCTCGATGGCAAGCCGTGGGCGATTCCGGTCAGGAGGGATCTTCTCTCTCAGGCACAGGGGACAGTGTTTCATCCCCGGCCCAAGATATGGAACATTCATGTCTGGCCCCTGAGGAGGACCAACTAAGGGATGCTGGGCTTCCAGTCGACGTAGTAGAGACTATTCTAAGTGCTAGGGCTCCCTCCACTGGAAGAAGTTATGGCCTCAGATGGCATGTTTTCGAAAGTTGGTGTATGACACACCATGCAGACCCATTTCACTGCCAAATTGTTTCAGTGCTGGAGTTTCTGCAAGAGAAACTGTACTCAGGCTTGCCATGCTCTGTTTGATGGGGTTTCTGTGCGAAAGCACCCTCTAGTAGCCCACTTCATTCGTGGAGCCAAGCTGTTGTGCTAGAGCGACAGTACCTTCGTGGGACTTAGCTATTGTGCTCGAGGGTCTGGTTAACACCCCTTTCGAACCACTAGAGTCAGCGCCTGTCAGGTTTCTGACCCTAAAGATGGTTTTTGTAATGGCTATTACTTCTCTGAAGAGAGTTTTGGGGATTTGCAGACTCTGTCAGTCAATCTGTCAGATTTTAGAAAAGACAAAAAGAACAATAATGATATTTGAGTAAATAAGGAAAACTTCCTTTTTGACTTGTCAGTGCGCTGCCAACAACTGCTGCACTTAATCCCACCTCATCGTAATGGCAGTTGCAGGACACAATCACAGGCGCACAACTCTCATCCCTCAAGAGGGAGTCAAGCCTGGGTGAAAGCAAGTACTGCGACCGTATCACGAAAACCGTATCACATACTTCACAGGTGCCCTTTTATACTCTCGGCCACAACAGTTGTGACATCAAAGGCTGCCGCCTGCCAATGTCAAGGTCATTGTCATGTTTAGACTCATGCTTCAGACACCGGTCATGCCGGAGGCATTCCCCCATAGCACCCTCTAGGGGATGCAGCACGAGTTCCCTTTCAAAAGGGAACTGTTTGCTGAGAGCAGCTCTTTTAAATCAAGGTATTCACTCCTGACTCCTTGAACTGGAGATCAGAATTATGAACCAATATAATGTCAAGAATTAAGTTCTCTTACCTCATTGGTTGAGTCCGGAGGGCTGTCTTTAGATCCTCTACCACCTTGTTTCTCATCTCCATTTCATCTTCATCAAAAGCAAATAGTGTCTGCATCTGAAATACAGGTGATTTTTGTCAATCTTTTATTCTGGTTTTAGACAATAAAACTGATCATGGCAGGTCAGATATACTTCAGAAAAGCTTCAAACCATGTCCATTCTAATGGTCAATTTTGTTATTTTGGGTTATTTTACTTTCTAACTGCTTTTTTATTATACCATACTGTAAATGCCCCTTTACGGGTGGAAGCAAAAAGATGCTGTTTTCATGTGTCTCTTTAAATTCAACTGCTCCCAGCCCCCTTTTCCAGAAAAGTGCTGGGCCTTGACAGCTCACGCAACAAGTAAAACAACTGATCGTTTTTGATTATCATCTCTATAGCACGTACATGATGTTGCATTTCTTCATAATCATGAAACGTTTATTCTTTTAATGCGTTTAAAAAACCTTGTCAGTTCTGAAATACAGTTTTCTGAATGCACACATACAAAGCGCATGCACAGATAGCCAGCTCTTTTGTGTCAACTGCCATAAACACACAACACTCACATAAACACAGTTGGTTATGTCTGTGAATGTAAACAGCTGCATGTGTATCATATAATATTAGATGTGTGAAACTGTGTTTCTTGAACATGGTGAACACACTCATCTCAGCATTTCTTGCTGGATGAAAGACCATCATCTTCAGTTCAACCTAGCCAAGACACAACTGCTTGTGTTTCAACAAACCCATCAATTCATCACAATTTCACCATCCTGCTAGGCTCATCAACCATAATTCCTTCAAAGACAGCCAGAAACCTTGGAGTTGTGATTGATGTTCAGCTGAATTTCTCAGACAACATTACTAAAACTGCCCGGTCCTGGAGATTTGCTTTAACATTAGAAAGATCAGGCCCTTTCTTTTGGAACATGCTACACAACTCCTTGTTCAAGCTCTTGTTTTATCCAGACTGGTCTATTGCAATGCTCTCTTAGAAGGTCTTCCAGCCAATTCTATCAAACCTCTACAACAAATCCAGAATGCGGCTGCAAGATTAGTCTTTAACGAGGCAAAAAGAACGCATGTCACACCTCTGTTCATCAATTTGCATTGGCTACCAATACTGCTCGCATAACATTCAAGGCATTGATGTTTGGCTACAAAAAATACCACTGGCTCTGCACCCCTTTACCTAAATGCACTACTTCAGAATTATGTGCCCTCTAGAAGCTATCTACAAGTGAATAGTGCCATCCCAAAGAGGTACAAAATCACTTTCACAGACTTTTACATTAACTGTTCCCTCCTGGTGGAATGACCCGCCCAACTCAATCCGAGCAGCTGAGTCCTTAGCCATCTTCAAGAAACGGCTAAAAACACATCTCATCCATCTTCATTTGACCCTCTAACACTTGCACTCTCTATTCTATTTCTATTCTTACTACTTGTCTTCTTAAAAAAGAGAGAGAGAGAGCCTCTGACACTAGCATTCTCTATTCTGTTTCCATTCTATCTACTTGTTTTTATTTTTATTTATTATAAAAAAAAGATTGATTGACTGACTGACTGACTGACTGACTGATTGGTTGATTGCATATGCCTTGGGCAGGAATTATTTTGTAATGCGTACGTTCCTGGAAGAAAACTCAGCAATGCAATCAAAGCATTTGAGGGAGTTCAGAAAGAGTGCTAACTGATATGGAAATTAACTCCCTTTGGAGTGGAGTTTGTGCTTTGTATCTTTGCAGATCTTTTTCCATGCACAAACAGCACCAATAGCATAATAGGATCCCTTTAACTAACAGCTATTATGTTTCACCACATCTCTCATATCTTTCTATCAAGGCCTTGTTTGCTATAGCATTTAAGATGACAATAATGATGCACGAACATGATGTACTAGAGCACAGTAAATTCCAATTACATTTTGGCAGTCTATCGCCGACAATGTGCATGAATGAGATTTTGCTAGCATGAATAGACTGGAAAAATATCGCTAAAATGTTTTGCCTACTAGTCTTAGATGATAGTTTAAAAAATATAAACAATAAATAAAAATCAACACAGATTCATATTGATAACTTGTGGGCTTGCATATCTTTTTGGTCAGTTTTTATTCAGCATTAGTTTTTCCTCCAAATTAATTGGTGTCAAAATCATATTTTATCAAAAAAGGTGCAGAAAGGGTTGTTGTGTATGTTAGAAATGTAAAGGTAATAAAGGAAGTACTTACAGCTGCCATGGAGTTGATGCGGTCTATATAGTAATCAGGCCAGCTGGTAGCTAGCTTGTTGGGGTCCTCTTGTTCCTAAGAAAAGAACACAGTATAAAGTCATTTAGATTCAATTTCAAGAAACCCAGGATTTTTGCAAATAACTATGTGTATCACTTTTAAATAACTGAATGGTAATAAGCTAATACCAAAGGGCTGAAATGCTGTATGTTTAACTACAATTGTCCCTGTGGGCATGACACATGTCCCAATAATAACGGTACTAAAAGTAAATGCGTCTGATAAATGATTGTTCAGTAGACCAAAGCAACATATTTGTTGTCCAATCAGTCCACCAGACCTTTTAGTTGGTAACCGCAAAAACTGAATCTGTGGGCTGATACAATATCTGGTTATTTAAAACAATATCTGATTGTTTGGTGGTTCGGAAATAATAAAATAAATTGAAATAATAATATTGTTATCTATAATGCTTTCTACATTTATTTAGACAACTGTTTTTTAATATAAAATAAAAGACCAGTTTAAATACAAACAATAAAATGCAAGTGTGGATTTATTAATCAACAAAAATTTACTACAGTTAAGAATGATGACACTCTATATATTTAATTGATTCAAGATTTGAATTTTGTTTTTCACGTTTCATAATCACAGTTCTGCTGTCATTTACATTCAAGCTATTTTCTTCACTACACAAGTTTGTAACTGCTCAATGCCATTTTTACCCATTCAGACTAACAGCAAATTGCCAACAGCCAATGTTTCTGAAGAGAGAATTAAGCTATTAGCTTGATTTATTTTAAAAAATGTGATCCATCCTATAACAGTGCTATCTAGGTTTCTAGGTTCTACATTCATTTGTTCAGAACATTGTATCAATTATCTAATGACAGGAAATAGAAGCAACTTAGCATTGCATTCCTCCCTCAGGGGATGGCACCGTGATCTGACGGCTTGGCACATGTGGAAACTATGTCAGTATTAACCAGGCCAACTGAAATTGTTTATTCCCAAACAACTGAAGTGACTAGATCACTGTTTACAGAACAGACTGACAAACTGTAAAGAAATGTAGTCAGGGTGCTTTGGAGACTGAGGTCTGGGTTTGTCTTTGTTTTTAACAATATTCTGACTTCCTTGTGCATTACATTCTGATTGTGTTTTCAGGTAAAATATTTTAGTTTTAATCACCACAGATCATATCATTCAGTTCAGTTTCTTGTGTGTCATTAACATAGGGGTGAATCTGAGCCCATTTTATCTTGGTAAATGTTTATCAGGTAATTTAATTGCTATAGTAAACATGAAGTGATTTTTTTCCTGCTGCCTTCCTACAGTAAGTGTGGGTTGTGTTCTGTGATGGTTGGCTGCAAAAGTAATAAAGTAATGAAACAGCATTCTTTTTTTTAAATTCAATTTTCCTGCCACTAAGCTGTTTGTTTGGATCTTGCAGGGGTTTTACCTTTTACATTTCACACGAAACATGCTTTCCTGTACAACAGAGTGACATGATATGTTTTCGATGGCAATTATCATAAATATTGGAACTTCAGCACAGAGCTTTGTGTTTTACACACCACAACACACATTCAAGCCTGACAAAACAACAACAACCTAGGATGTATAACTTGCAATCAGATCCAATCAACTTGCAACTTTCCTTTCAGTGGTAAGTGTTCAAACAATGCAGAACAATGCTGGAACATAACAGCTTGGCTTGGACCTCAATCCTGTGATGTGTTTTTCCGAGCTAAACTTTTTTGTTTCAACCAGAATACTCAGTTTAATGAGGTTTCACATTCTTATCATCTGCAGTCTCAAATGATGTCAGAACGTTTACACTGACCAGCAGGGCCAGATTTACCTCTTTTCGTGACATAGGCAAAACTAATTTTTGGGCCCCCCTTACCTATTAATATGTTAGGCCTAATATTACCATCCAAGCAAACATCAATCAGCAAATCTTAATCAGTGGAAACCGTTACAGTGTTTTCTATCGCAATAAGCGCTTGCGTTAAGTCAATAAAAATGTAGGTCATATTGGTTTCAGAACTGAGAAAGACCATTCCATTAATAGGCGCGGCGACGTGGCCATATAATAACCACTTCGGGAGTGCATTATTTCTCTAATGATTTTAACGACCTGGAGTCACAACCACACATCAAAACATTGTTCAGATGATTTGTTTCAAGACATTTGACATGTTTCCGTTCTGAAATCTCGTGTGTTGAACTATTTTTTTACGCACCTCATCCCAAACCTTCCGTTGCAAATTCCAAAACGTAATTTTAGAGCTAATAACGGAGGCTTGAGCCATGTATATGCAGGCTAATGCAGTCTAACGCAGTTATTAGAGAGAGAGAGCGTGAAAGAGAGAGAGGGAGAGAGAGAGAGAGAGATTAAGCGCGTGTGAATACTAGCATCTGTGCATCTCTCAGCAGCTTTCAGCAGCAGCGTCTAAATAGCGAATCTTTAAGTTAAACTGCTTCAAGAACCTCGCAACTGAGAAATGTCATGTAGCTTTTCAGCTGTGAAACTATTTTATTGATAAATTCGCGGGGCAGCGCTAACAAGAAGTTTCTGTTCACGTCTCCGCGTGTGTGTGTGCGAGTGCGTGTGTGTGCGTTTGTGAGAGAGAACAGGAGAAAGAAAGCATGATTTCCGTAGCCTACATAAAAAAGCTGGAAGACATGGAAATAGTTTGTCATTTTTTACCCTATTGTTTGTTAAATTTATTTGCTCAATGTCTTCTTGGGTTTTGGTTCTTTTACTGTTGTAGATAGCCCATAGTATAACAAAAATATTATATATCTCTTTACTGTGTTTGGGACCCCCTGGACGAGCAAACATAGGCACATGCCTAGAATGCCTTTGCGTAAATCCGGTCCTGCTGACCAGCTCAAGAAAGTTATTACAATGCTCTAATTTCCATCTCCGGAAAAAATAAAAAGTGATAGAGAGAACGGGCATACTTGGCTTAAGGTTAGAACAGTAGTGAACTACTCCTACTGTGTTTCAATATTTGTACTATCAAAGAAGCAATAGAGGAGGTAACAATAATAAACATGATTTTGGCCAGCAAATTCCCAGTATGGGTCAAACACAGTTTAGAGATGAAACCCAAAAGTCTAGAATCATTTGTTTAGCTTTGTTCAGAAACTTTAGTTTTATTTTTCAGCACACAACCAGCATCAGTGGAATTCAATTCTATGATTTTTATGTATTTGATGTGATGTGATGTGAACTATTTTCTTTTTGAGGGGTTTGAAATCAATTGCCTCTTGATATTATTCATGAGAAGGCATTGGTCTATACTCTTTGACGTGTTTGTGTGCAAGTATTTATTATGAAAGTTTAAACTTACAGAGAGACTGATGATCCTTTGAGACTTGGTCTGACACCCTTACTGTGAGTGTGTAAATAGATTAACTACATTTTTGTGAATGACCATCACGTAAAACAAATAAAAATGTGTAAATTGTAACATGTAAAAAACCTATGTGCATATATTATTACAAATGCAAATAAATCAGCTTGTTTTGAGCACAATTACAGACAAAATTATCTGTATGTATTTGAGGTTTTGTGCACATACAAAACTGTATAATATTTTGGTGCATTTTATTGCATGCAGTTATGCATTGCATCATACATTTGTGGGAACCTGATACTACAAAACTGACTGGAGCAGACTGAGATTCTGCACTGACACTGTTATTTAAAATTATAAACATATAACTTTTAATGTTCATATTTTCTAGCTAATGAAATTACATATCAATGAGTTAACAAAACAGAATATCAACAAATGTGGGTGTTATCGATGGTGGAAATGTTGGCTCTGGTTCTATGGCTATATCTGGATATGATTATTTCTTATGAGTGGCCTTTCCATGACTCCAAACTACACATTAATACAAGGTACAGTTCTCCTTTTGAGAAGTGTGTTGCATATTCTGGAGAGGAAATTTTGCTTTCATGTCTTCTCAAATGTTGAACTAAGGTGGGGTTTGGCTGCCTTTACTCGAGAAGCCCATTCTCTGAGTGTAAATCTCACTATGGCCAGGGTGACCTCTGAGTTTGTGCATTTGCTGAAATGTTTCTCCATGTCTCAGATTTCTGTGGTTTTGATTGAAAACGGTTTCATCCCTCAGAATGCACTCATTTTTGGCTGAACCTAAAGACTTCCTTGAGGGTCCAGCAGGCAAAATGCGAATGTGATGACACAGTAATACAAACAGGAAAGAGATACATGTTTGTGAAGGGCATGCACTCTGCAACCTTACATACTGTACAAACAACTGGGGTGCTGTTTGCAAATCATCGTTCTCGAAAGTGCTTACTCTGTGTCAAACTGACATGCAAAAGACATCAAGTAAAGCAATGACCAGTTTTTAAAAAATCTGATCTTGGGTATCCATTATACTGCCAATTTAAATGTAATCCTGATTCAATGTTTGGTTGAAATCGCCAGCAAATAAGTAAGACGTGCTTCATGATTAATCAAATAAATAGAGTAAAATAAATACAATTTTATTTTTTTAATAGATTGCATAATCACAATGTATCAATTAGGCAGAATAGATTATGTGAGTTTGAGCAAAATAAAACCACAACCACAACCAAAGGGGGTTGTTAAACTTTTAAACTTTTATTGCATTGCCAAAAATGAATACATTGCAAGAAGATGAAGAGATGAAACATTTGCAAATGTTTTCCTTGTGCAGCATTGGCTGTTCTAGCTGTCCCATACGTTTAGTGCATTACTAAATATGTATCCTTCATTAATAAGACAATTAAAGAATGCACTGTGACAAGCTGAGAAATCCATCCCATCCATCCATTTTCCAAACTACTTGTCGGCCCACGTGGATGATAGAACCTATCCCATTGTCTTGGGCCATCAAACACCATGAAAACACCATGGAAAGATGGCCAAACACACACACACATTCACACTCACATCTATGGACAATTTAGTGTCTATGTACCTATGTTGCATGTCTTTAATTGTGGGGGAAACCAGAGCAAGCTGAGAAATATTGATTATGCTTACATTTCATTATAAAAA